TCCGGTTCTTAAACTGTCGTAAAGATGTGTACCACCAACTCGATGTCATATTTACCAAATCTTTTCATGTTTTTCAATCAAGGTGCTCATGTGATCTGACGCAAATCGGGAAGTAAGACCCGCTTTATTACAAAATAGATTTTGATTTTCAAATGCCAGTGATACAAGAGGTAGAATCTGATTGTCAGTAGGAAGGGCATAGAAGGGACGTAACTGGTGGTGGCGCTACGATCGAACCAGGAAATTCCAGCCAAGTTCGGCAAGGGTGGAAACTAGACTCTTAGAGTCAGTAAATTCCCTTGACTCGGAGAAATGCAATTCATCGTTCTCATTTGGAGCCAAACGGACAGACTAACGATACCTTCAAATAAATATTCAAACAACAGAAAGCATTGTGTCTCTGCCAGCGAATGTTTAAAATCAATATGCAAATACGACAACCCACTGATCATTTACAGGTAAAGAAAATATCCCGTCATCACTGTTCCCACGAGGGTATTAAACATGTAGCAGCTGAAATTTGTTCTTCTCCTCTGACACGGCAGGTGGTTCTTAAGTCATGGTACCACGGTACAGTGAAACATTTCAGCTCAATTCCCTTGCGACCACAACCGTAGTTTCTGAAGGGCCGGTTAAGAAATACGATTACATTCCATCGCTACGGTTGGCAGCAAGGTGAATACATTTTAATAAAGAAGAAAGGACGTTCTCAGTGACTTGTAAATAAATGTAAATGACAAGAGAAGGACTTGGCTCGGTTCACATAACGGTCCTAACAAATTAGATCAAACTAATTAAAAAAACACCCCCCATTTTTGACGTATACCGAAAGTCAAGACATTTTTAGTGTGTTCACCGGGCTTGAGGAGGACATGTATTGTTGTACTATCTATATTAGTTATCTACATAATAGGATGTCCTCAGATCTTTGTTTTGCGGTAGCGAGAACTAAGATATGAATGTTTTGAGTATCAATCATGGAAATAACAACTTAGCTCTCAAGTAGTTCATGCTTCCTTTGATTTCGAAAGGATAGACAGGATAAACAGCTGCAAGTAGAACAGGACAGGAATAGGTCTTCAGCAACCTTTCCTTGTCGTAAGAGGCGACTAACGGGATCGGGTGGTCAGGCTCGCTGACTTGGTTGATGCATGTCATCGTATCCCAATTGCGTGGATCGATACTGATGATGTCAATCACTGGATTGTCTGGTCAAGACTCGATTATTTACAGACCGACGTCATTTAGAATTATGCTGGGTGCGGCGTAAAACAACAACCAAACAAACAAAAAGAAAAAGGAAAGGACAACTTACGAGGGCACAAATAAGACCAAATTGAGAACGAAATTATTCCAAAGGGACGATTCTGAATCAAAGTGTACATTAGATAATAATAACAAGAGTCCATTATATGGCGTTGTACTCCATGCATAATGAGTGAGTGAGTGAGTGAGTGAGTTGGGTTTAACGCTGCTTTTAACAGTATTCCAGTTATATCACGGCGTGTCAGCTTAATGTGGGAGGAAAGCCCGAAGTGATGCAGGTCTCAGACGTTTACCACGAAACCCACGAGTACGGGTATGGTGCTGACAAACCTAGAAACATAACCGGGATTTGAACCCACAATCAAAGATTTCTGGCGTGACCAAGGGACGCAACTCTACACAGCGAATCTCGGCGCCTTAGACGCTTAAACATTATTACCCCGGGGAGTGGATCAGTGTGCACTCAACAAATATTCTCAGCTCCCTGGGGAGTATACTACCCAAGCTGCCTGTTAAGCGCTAGAAGATTAAAAACCACATTGCCATCTCATACTACCGGGTACCCATTCACTGCTTGGTGAACAGAGCCACTTGCATGTGTTTAAGTGTGGGACAAGATCCATCAAAGGACTCTCCGCGACCGGCGTTGTAAACAGCATGGCAGGAGAAAGTATACACTTGAACATTGGATTTGAGCCAAAACTTACAAACGTCATGAAAACGATTCTAGGCTGCAAACAGTCGCCGAAACATTGCAAGTGAGTGAGTGAGTGAGTGAGTGAGTGAGTGAGTGAGTAAGGTTTTACGCCGCTTTTAGCAATATTCCAGCAATATCACGGCGGGGGACACCAGAAATGGGCTTCACACATTGTACCCATGTCGGGAATCGAACCCGGGTCTTCGGTGTGACGAGCGAACGCTTTAACCACTAGGTCCTGGTGACAATACTACCACTTCAAGAATAATATTGTTGGTGCTCAGATGTCCTGTTACATAACTGTCCACGGGATATGGATCAAGGGTGACGTTGTGATTTACTGCGGCGTCGCAATTCACTGGGGTGGGTTGCCTCCCTTTGCCCTGGTTATAAACACAGATCGCTACATTCGATGCTGAGAACGTCGAGTGGAGGCGCTGAAACCCTTGGAGGTTAATAAAGTAATGATCAGATCGTAAATAATTGATGATTTTGAGTTTTTGACCATATAAGCGAGAATCTGTCTATATGATTTGTTTGTTCTCGCGTAAACCTATATAGGTTTCCTTGTCGTAAATCGTTGATTGGGACGTAATTACTAGACTGTGTTTTCTCCTCCTTTATAGAAACCCAATATGTTGGTGGATTCGTTTCCAAGATTCGCCCTGTTATGTTTCTTGGTCTGTTTCATTTGATTAAACATCTCAATCTCATTAAAATCAGATCTTAGTTCTCGCTATCGCTAAACAAAGATCTGATGACATCCCATCACGGGTCACGTCTGAACGACCTTTCGACCAATCAAAGCGTCGCTTACCAGATCAGGAAAGTGACAGTCGGAAGGTGTTTTCAAATCATGCAACCTCGAAAATGTTAATAAGGGGTATTCCGAACGACAGTTACGGAGCGTACGACTGATTCCGTCAAACTTATCGTCTGTCTCTCGCTTCCGTCTCTCGCTTCCGTTGGATACACATTTGAACGGAGGAGGCATTGCACAGTACGTGAGAAGCACTGCCATACAATCGCAACCATATATTAGACATTCTGGAATGATCGTTTGTTCAGTTTTCAAAATCTAAATCGAGAACTGTGTCAACATATTTTTCAAGCGTAGTCTGAAATGGAAGTCGCCAGGTTGAAACGGGTGCCGTAAAGCTCGAGAAAGCTGCTTTCTAATTGGCTGATGTCGACTTCTTGTCAGTCGTTTCAGTGGTCGGTTCTGGCGTGACCCGTAATGGGATGTCCTCAGATCTTTGTTTAGCGATAGCGAGAACTTAGATCTGATTGTAATTATAATGAGATTGTTAAACATCTAAAACCCACTTTCCTCCCACATCTCTGATTTGTTTTTCATTTTTCAAAATACTTTCCGTTACTAAGTAATAAAAAAGGGAGTCTAACGCTGAACTGGGCCCACTTGCACAAAGCGATCTTAGCGCTAAGATGATCTTAACTCCCATAACATGGGCTTACAATAGTCTTAGCGCTAAGATCGTTTTGTGCAAGTGGGCCCTGGTGAGGTCGGTCGCTGTCATAGATGGAGCAATGGCTGTATAAGGTATTGGTGCAGATTAATCCACATATCGTTAACGTAGAAATCCACACGCCTGTTGTAGAATGCTCAAATTACAAAATGGAAATGGTGCCACTAACCGGACTTCTCAAATTAGAATGTATTTGTTTCAAAGTGGTCTTGGATGCGCCTGGATATCACAAGAATGTGGAGATGAAATGTCATTTTTATGCACTTATTTAGTCGCAAATGTATTGATTGATTAAGTGAGTGAGTGTGGTTTTACGCCGCTTTTATCACGATGTACCCATGTCGGGAATCGAACCCGGGTCTTCGGCGTGATGAGCGAACGCTTTAACCACTAGGCTACCCGACCGCCCATGCAGATGTATTGATATTGATACCCCACACTGGAATGAAAATATAAGTCATTATAATAATTTACATTAGTGCAAATTACTATTGGAAACCGAATGAGATCTTGTAAGCGTAGTGGCGAAATTTTATTGCGAAAACGTGTTTTTTGTTTGTTTGTTTGTTGTTTAACGCCGGACTCAGCAATACTCCAGCTATATGACGGCGGTCTGTAAATAATCGAGCCTGGACCAGACAATCCAGTGATTGACACCATGAGCATCGATCCACGCAATTGGGATCGATGACATGCATCAACCAAGTCAGCGAGCCTGACCACCCGATCCCGTTAGTCGCCTCTTTCGACAAGCATAGACGCCTTTTACGGAAAGCATTGGTTGTGGAAGACCTATTTTACCCCTGATCTTAACGGCTCGTAAAACATGGTGAAAACATGTTAAAATAACGTTTTAGCAATCATGTTGGTCGATTATCAATGCTATGTGAAAATTGTGAAATACTAAAAATTGAAGAAGAATATCCATTTTGCACTCTCATATTACACGAAAAACTGAAAAAAAATGAAATGGCACGTCTTCACATCATTATCCATTGCTGTACACTGACGCGTTCCTGCTGGTCAAAGGTTCGAATCTCTAATGATTCGTCTACATGTATGTTTAGATCGCCGGTACATTATGGTATTATGGTATTTCGGAACTTTTGTGTGTAAATGTCGCTTTCCACAACTAATCATGGACAATTACTGTTTCATAATAATTGAGGGAATATAAGTTTAAATTAAGTAAAAAGGGACAGGCACAATTAATACATGCATTTGTGCTCCAATATGAATCACATGTTTTCAGAAATACACATGACTCACATACAGTACAGAGTACATGCCCAACAACATTTGTCCAAAACAGTGTAAAATGACTATCTCATTACGTAAATGAGTTTGACTAAGAAAGGTTTTATGTACTCGATCGATGTTCACTCTGTGACTCGAGTCTGGTTCCTTTAAATTATTCAACGTTTACATGATGGACAAAAAATACAAACTATTCTTGTCAACAAGAAACCCTATATGGTTTGCGCCATATTGATTTATGAGTAATTTGATGATTGTTTCATTGATAGGCTTACTTCAATCAGTCAAAGGATCCCGTCCTCAGCGAGATGCATAGGGCACGTCTCACTGTTGTCTTGTGAAGCACATAGGAGGCAAGGTAGGTTTTATTTTAAATGTTTCCTTGGTCTCTACAGGAGGGCTATTGCAATTGATGTTAAAAACCTTTGAGCTTTAATTATTGTTAATCTTAAAATTAACGCGAGCGTGAATTAAATTGAAAAAAATGCGAGTGGTCTTTGTTCGCATTAATGAAACTTCGCATTCATGTCTCCAAAATGACTATCAACAATAAGACGGGCTCACTGCACACCTTGGATAGCGGAAGTATATTGGCAAGCAGTTTTACTCACAGGAAACAAGGCTCATAGCTATGAAGAGACACCATGAGTAGTTCTGGACCCCCGTATGGCCTCAGACCACAGTTATCCCCCTCTAAGTTTTACCATGAACCGGAAGGAAAATAGGAGAATATAGTACCCTGTTGAAATGGGCTGTTCAGCCTGTGGCAATTTTTTTGGAGTGACTTGTGATAGCTTAAATGAAAGATAAGACATTGTAGTTTGCTCTCAATTTTTTGTTAGCCCCAATCTGTGAAGGTATTGATTCCAGCTTCCCATGATTTGACCCCAAGTTGAAGGCCGCTGTGTGTGTTTCGGCTCGAAACTTCCGGTGAGCATTGTTGACAGTGGTTACTGCGAAAGCAAGGTGGTGGATGCTGGACGTAATTTTGCGTTTTAAGTGACAAGTGGCAGGTTGGTCAGCATGCAACAGGAGAACAGCCTACGACTGATAATAATTATGGTGGGCTGTCATGTCACTGTAGATAGCAAAGAAGGAAATTAATTGTGGTCTGAGGCCTGGGTATCCGGAAGTGCCGCCATCTTGGATCCGCGAAGAGAGGCATTGTGGGTAATGCGTGCGCCTCCAAGATGGCGTTACTTCCGGTTCCGGGGGAGGGGTGTGTGTGCCTCCAAGAGGACGGCACGTCCGGTTCCCAGGGTGCATCCCCCCCTCCAAGATGACGGTGGGAAGGCGGGAAAGGCGGGAATGCGGGAAGGAGGAAGGCGGGAAGGAGGAAGGCGGGAAGGTGGGAAGGAGGTGGGGAGGAGGAGTGAGGGAGGTGGAGGAGGAGGGAGGGAGGGATGGAGGGAGGAGAAGGAGGGACAAGGAGGAGGAGGGAGGACTTGTGTCCTCTGCACTTCAGAAGAAGACTCTTTCACCACCAGGACCGTCTCACTCTTCGATGATACCCGTGTACATGCATCGTCAGCAGCAGCCATCACCACGTCCTTCAACATCATCAGCGCCCTCACCATCCTCCTCACCCCACGATCTTCAACACTTTCAACCTCTGCATCAGCAGCAGCAGCAGCAGAAGAAGAAGAAGAAGACGTCCTCGCAAAAGAAGAAAGAAGACAAGAGACCATCTATGTTTCTGCCAAGGGATGCGACAAACCTTGCCGTCAAAGGAAGAAATCGACTTTTGCAGTGGTTTACGATTGTCGTGCAGAACCTAAGATCAGGTCGCGTCCCCTTGAAAGCTCAATTTAAGGCGTGGTTGCAAAGATATAAAGATACCCTGACTAAAATTGTCAATCCACGTAACATGCTCTGTGTCATTTGTGTGCTGCCGCACCAGCAATGCGCAAAGCCATTCTCAAACATGCTCCTACCGACGTCATCCGCGCCCTTTGTGAATGTGTGGTGAACTTGTATGCAGGCAATATTCCCATGACCACGACTCAACGTCAACACTTGCAACGGCACGGCAAAGTCTTGAATACGCTCATGAAAAAACAAGTCCCTCTGAGCAAGAAACGAAAACTTCTTCAACGTGGAGGAGGATTATTAGGAGGATTCATTCCTCTTATCGGTTCTGCCCTAGCCTCTTTGTTTGTAGGAAGGTCATAAAGGGGTGACACCAGGAAGGTCGGGATCAGTGTGTGGTATGTCACCATGAAGTACGCACCCAAGATGGTGTTGGTGCCTGAAGACACATGGCAAAGTCTACAGGCCACCAAACAACGGCAACGTCAGACCCATCACACCCCTCTCTTGGCAAAGAAACGTCTCCAAAATTTGGAAGGGATGGACACGTTGATGCAGAGGTCACAGCAGCCTTTTCACCTGCTGGAACAAGATTACAACCAACTGTTGCAACGCATGCTAGAGTTGCAGCGCCAACAGCACCACACCTCCCTCGCCATCACCACCAAACCGACACCACCACCACCAAACCGACACCACCACCACCACCAAACCGACACCACCACCACCACCACCATCAACGACCTACCTCTCCTCCTCAACAGGCGATCGACGAAGTGGTCATGAGTGTTCCTTGAAGCCATGTCCAGTAAAGCCATGAATTTGATGACAAGGATTCAAAACAATCCCGACTCGAGTTGGACTCCAGAGGGGACCCTGATCTTGGAAGGGAAACCCATCCCTGGCACACACATGGTGGACTTGATCAACGATTTAGTGCGTCACCGGAAAACCAAAGAGGGACCAGCAGGGTGGACCCTTTTGAGTCACCATTTGGCCAGCACTCACGTTCCCCATGAAATGATTGGAAATCCTCAACTATGGCAATGGATGCAGAAGCAGCAGCAGCAGCAACACCCTCCTCACGCCACGCCAAGGACACCCCACACCCTGTTCCCCCTCCCCAAGCTCTCCCCGCAAAGTCACCCAAAGAAAAGAAGGTGGAAGAAGAAGAAGAAGAAGAAGAAGAAGAAGAAGAAGAAGAAGAAAAAGAGGTGATGCCAACCCGATCGGCCATGACCCCACCTCTCTCGGATACCAAACAGGACAGATTCATCAACAGGCGAGGTTCATGGATACCCTTCAGCACCACATAAGAAAACATCTCTCTATGTGAAATTTGGAGAAATACAAGTAGCCAAGAAGTAGGCATCCCCATGGGAACAAAATATGCTCCCCCTTTTTGCTGATCTGTTTCTTTATCCAAATGAATTGGAATTACTGTCCGAATTAGCGTTGTCAAAAATGAGGAAAACGGCCATGAAGTTTACCTTAAAATTCGGGTATCTTGATATGACATCGTTCAATACCGGTCAAATAGCCAATTCCCTTCCACTGATTTACCCACCTGAACCAGAAATAAAAGTGACCAGTGACTTCGCCTTATCTGTTTCATATTTAGATCTATGCATAAAGATTCCAAACAACAAAAAACTTTCCACGTGGATGTATGACAACATTCCTGTAGTCAACTTTCTCTTCATGTCGAGCAAATTCCAGCAGCTCCAGCCTTTGAGGTACAATGAGCATCACACGCCTTTTGCTCAGGATTCCATCAGGTTTACAGCATTCAAGGCTATTGAAAACAAATATGGTTGATAAGTGGAAGGCAATTTGACGCATCTGTGATAAAAATGATGTCCAATGCTAGTGCATATATGACTTGTACCACATGTTTTATACCACTGTAATTTTTTTCACGTGAACAATTGACTTGCCTTTGCATGGGTTTATGACGGGTGACATCAGTTGGACAGGATAAGCTCACCTATTCGCGAACACCCGGTGTCATCACTATGTCATAGTGATTCATACACAAATGACCGTGATGAAGTCGGAATCGAAAAAGGACTCTGCGTTAAGTATGCCCTCATAGCCAAACGAAATTCACGTCTCAGACAAAAACAAACAAATAATTTAGGGTGTATTGATTAGTTGTGTATTTTCATGACACTATTTATGAATTTCAATGTTAGTAACAGTTAATAGACCCGTGAAGATCAGGGTTAGAATTGGTCTTCAGCAACCCATGCTTGTTGTCAGAGGCGACTAACTGGATTGGGCGATCAGGCTTGCTGATTTGGTTGATGCATGTCATCGTACCCCAACTGCGTAGATCGATGCTCATGATGTCAATCACAGACCGCCGCCATATAGCTGGAACAGTGCAACGACAAACAACAAACAAACAAAGAAACAGTTAATCAATAACGATTTCATAATCGGTTTCATTGTTACTACCCAAGCATGGCATGTGTAGCGCAAGGACGAAATGTCTGATGCCTTCAAAGTAGATAAAGTTTCGTCCCTTTGGAGTGCCAGGATTCAATGAACGTGGCTTCAAATACAAGATTCGCTGTGATTATGGCCCTCTTTTACAATTGACGTCGACATATGCGTATATCTAACACGACTTGCGCAACGTTGTACGTACCCTTTTCTTCAATCACGTTTCGTATCAGCTTATCAGTCCCAATTGACGTACGCAAGCAGACGATAATCATGTAACATCAGACAAGAGAGTAATCAAGGGAGATTACTCTAATGACCGGGACATTTGCAGAGGGTTGTTAAACGGCTCAGCTGTGTGACTTTTTTGGAAACCATCTGAGTTTAATATTTAATTGCTATATTAATAATATATCTATGGTGTGAGTAGATTGTCTATCTATTAATGTAAATTTGATTCGTTTGTAGCACGTGATCTTTTTTGGCAACGCCCCTTGCGGTTCGAAATATGAATTGATTGATCCAGGGGCATGGTGATCACGGCTATGTCCCCGTGCGAATTTGACACATTTTGAATGGAATGATGTGAGCAAAAAGTTGGAATATGGTGAAAAAATAAAATTTGACGTGAAAAACCCATTTCTGCAACAAAGAATTAAAAGATCATCGCAGCGGGTAAATTTTAAGCTTGGACGGGGAATCGAAACATATGAAATGTATTTTGACAGGCCTTGTCACAGATGGTATGATATACGAGCGAATTAGATATACGCCACTCACAAGAATATCACCACTGAACTTCATGTGCCTGTTCAATTAAATTTCAGCACTTAAGTTCATACCACACGTATTATTGATCGTGGAGCCCTTCTCGAAGGTTAAAAATAATGCCTACTCGGGAGGAACTTGAAGACTTATTGATTACCTGGTTAATGTGATGAAAATGAACACCTGGATATGTGCATTATTCAGTAACATGTCTTCATGGGGCAATGGGGAAATTGCTATGAAGCACATTTTACAGTGGTATGAAAATAAAATAATTTTCATAATCATATGAAATCTCTACTAAAAACAGTTTCCGAATATATCAAGAACCAA